ATCATAACTTTAACCAATACAGTAGCAAGTTTGGCCTACAGTCTTGTATCTTTGTCCATTATTGTTGTAACTTAATCCTAAACTATAATGAATGTGTCTTTAATTATTGTAATTTTACCAAAATTGCTATAAATTCTTCCACAATAATTGGAACTTAACCTATTTCTGTCGTAAATTAACCTACAAATTTTGTAATGTGACCTTTAAATGTGGTAATTTTATTCCAAGTATTGGTAACTTTACTCTAACTATAGTATTTTTAACATAAATGTTATAAACATAACCTTAATTGCTAGGGCAACACTACTATACCGACAACCTACTTTTCGGTATTGTACCAAAAAGTAAGGTGGGTGACATGTACTCTTTAAAACCGGTGAAACCGGTTGTTCAAATAGTACCTAGCCGAAAGAGTTTTTCATTTTATTCCCTCTACTATTTGTCTTAATTATTAACCCAATTATTAATATAGTTATATATTTAAGGGAAAAATATTTTACTTTGCCCTATGTATTTTCTCTTCAAAAAAATAATAGACCTTTCTAATTAGGTAATGTGGAATAAAAATATTACTTGAAGGAAAAAAATAAAAAAATTGTTATACTTCAGGGGTATCTAGCCCAAAACATTAGTTTCAAATTGTCTCAATTACTAACCCAATTATTAATATATTTATATATTTAAGGAAAAATTATTTTACTTTGCCCCCAATGTATTTTCTCTTCAAAAAAAATAATAGATGTTTCTAATTAGATAATGTATTACTTGAAGGTGAAATATAAGAAACAAAATAAAAATATTGTTATACTTCAGGGGTGTAAGTGTAATTTACTAAGACCGGCCGTTGGAATGGGCGACTGATCCTGGTGTAATATTACACTTTAATCCTTTCATCTTACACTTATATCCTTTATTATATTATACTTTTAACCTTTTGATATTACACTTTTAACCTTTTATATTATAATTCATCAAATTAACATCCAAAATCATTCAATAAATATTCAATTTATCAAATCAACTTCAAACTAACATGCAATTCATCCAATTAATACTCAATTCATTAAATTTACACCAAATTAACATTCAATTCTTCAAATCAATATTTAATTTTACCTAATAAACATTAAATTCAATAAATTAACATTAAAACTCAGCTCACAATAGGGCTACATTAAAAAATTGCCATGAATGCTTGATGAGTTGAGAGCATGAGTTTGAGCTTGGATGCTTAAGCTTGAGCGTGAGCCAAAAATGGGAGTTAGAGTTGAATGTTTGAGCTTGGAGCTTGCTTATCAGAGAAGAAGGTGAACAGTCTTATACATTGAGAAACCTATGAGATAGGGCAGCTGAACAGATGCGTGAACAAAAGAGACCAAAACACAGACTCTTGCATTTTCAATGAGAGAAACAACCTCTGAGAGATCTTCTCCATTTTAGCACCTGCAAAATAGCAGAGAAGAGAAGATCTTGCACATGTTTAGGCGTTGGCTTCATGCCACAGCAAAGAGAAACGAAAGCCTTTTATCCAGAAGCATGGTAGAAGATGAATATCCATCATGAAGACCAAGAGACGTGGATATATCTTGGAGGATGCAAAGGCAATTCTTCATGAAGTGCTGGGATATAAAGGCATATGAACAGTCCTCTGCTTCCAAAGACGTCTGTAAGAATGGTGAAGAAATACAAATGTTGAAGCAGGACACCCAGAGAAAGCATCTTAAGAGAAGACAAGAACACTAAATGGGTCCAGATTTCTTCTCCATATCCAATGCACCAAATTAAGAAAGGGTCTGATTATGGGTAATCATGCCCAAAAACTGAAGAGAATTCTCAGAAATTCCAAGGTAGCATAGAAATTGAAAGTACCGGCAGTCGAAGCAGAAACAAAGATTTGAAATCTGGATTCAGCAATGGACAACAATGCAATCGAAACAGAGAACCTAAGGTGGAATCTGAAATGACGGAGTCTATAAATCCGAAGGGTCTTCTAGGACATGATGCAAGGGCTGCACTGTGANAGATTCAACAATGGACAACAATGCAATCGAAACAGAGAACCTAAGGTGGAATCTGAAATGACGGAGTCTATAAATCCGAAGGGTCTTCCAGGACATGATGCAAGGGTTGCACTGTGAGTTTCCATGTCCAGGTGCCTGCTATATTCTTCTGCACTTGAGCTTCTATATCTCTCATATTCGTAGAAAAGGAAAGATCCTATATTAAATTCTGAACTACATTTTTGTTATGACTCTCAATCATCCAAAATTTAAGCATGTTGGAACCCTTAAGACTTTTTGTTATGACTACATTTTTGATTGACTTTCTTAAGACTTTTAGCTTCATAGCATCTTGAAGCATTAAAAATCTTGCAGAGGTGGGAAGAAGATCCGAATTAGAATAGGTAGAAGAAGATTGGTCTGAGACCCCTTTGTTTGCCAAAAAGTTAGCCACATAGTTACACTCTCTGTAAATGTGTTGGATTTGATAATTGAACTTGGATAGGAGAGAAGTTAATTTATGCGATAGGGACCATAAATTCCAAGAGTGCTGCATGTTTGATTAACCACATTTGCCAAGATCTGGGAATCAGTTTCAATAAAAATGTGATTTAATCTTCATAGAAGGCTCCCTAACTGAAGGGATCTTAAGATATGGAAGAAGATCCAGACCTGTAGGAGTATCCATAGCCTTTGGTCTAACTCTACACAAAAAAAAATGATTTAACAAATTAACACCAAATAACACGCAATTTCATCCAATAAACATTATATAAATAACAAATTAACATTCAATTCTTCAAATCAACATTCAATTTCATCTAATAAACATTTAATTCTTCAACTTAACATTCAATCACATCCGATTAATATTCAATTCATAAAATTAACACAAAATTCAAATTCATTAACACAAAATTAACTTTTTGGCCGAGGTTTCAATTTTTTGAATTGAATTATATAACCTTTTGGGATGGGTTCTTTGGGAGGGGTTCCAACTTTTTCGGTAGAATTCCAAATTTTTTGGTAGGGGTTTCAACTTTTTTGGATAGGGTTCCAACTTTTTTGGGTGGAGGTTTCAACTATTGGTGGGGGGTTCCAACTTTTTTGGAGCTTCCAACTCTTGGGGTAGAGGTTTTAACTTTTTGGCTGAGTTTCAATTTTTTGAATTGAATTATAAATTTTTGGGGTAGGTTCTAACTGTTGAGAGAGGGGTTCTAACTGTTGGGGGAGGAGTTCCAACTTTTTGGATAGGGTTCCAACTTTTTTGGTAGGGTTCTAACTTTTTTTTGTAGGGGTTCTAACTTTTTTGGTAGGATTCGAACTTTTTTGGGTGGAGGTTCCAACTATTGGGGGAGGGTTCCAACTTTTTTGGAGGTTTCAATTTTTTGGCTAAGTTTCAATTTTTTGAATTGAATTATAACTTTTTGGGGTGGGTTCTAACGATTGGGAGAGGTGTTTCATCTTTTTTGGGTAGGGTTCCAACTTTTTTGATAGGGTTCCAACTTTTTTGGTAAGGTTCTAACTTTTTTTGGGTGGAGCTTCCAACTCTTGGGGGAGGATTCCAACTTTTTTAGAGGTTCCAACTCTTGTGGGGGGAGAGGTTTCAACTTTTTGGCTAATTTTCAATTTTTGAATTGAATTATAATTTTTTGGGGTGGGTTCTAACTGTTGGAGGAGGGATTTCAAATTTTTTGCTGAGTTTCAATTTTTTGAATTGAATTATAACTTTTTGGGGTGGGTTCTAACTGTTGGGAGAGGGGTTCTAACTGTTGGGGGAGGAGTTCCAACTTTTTGGATAGGGTCCCAACTTTTTTGGTAGGGTTCTAACTTTTTTTTGTATGGGTTCTAACTTTTTTGGTAGGATTCGAACTTTTTTGGGTGAAGGTTCCAACTATTGGGGGAGGGTTCCAACTTTTTTGGAGGTTTCAACTTTTTGGCTAAGTTTCAATTTTTTGAATTGAATTATAACTTTTTGGGGTGGGTTCTAACGATTGGGAGAGGGGTTCCATCTTTTTTGGGTAGGGTTCCAACTTTTTTGATAGGGTTCCAACTTTTTTGGTAAGGTTCTAACTTTTTTTGGGTGGAGCTTCCAACTCTTGGGGGAGGATTCCAACTTTTTTAGAGGTTCCAACTCTTGTGGGGGGAGAGGTTTCAACTTTTTGGCTAATTTTCAATTTTTGAATTGAATTATAATTTTTTGGGGTGGGTTCTAACTGTTGGAGGAGGGATTTCAAATTTTTTGCTGAGTTTCAATTTTTTGAATTGAATTATAACTTTTTGGGGTGGGTTCTAACTGTTGGGAGAGGGGTTCTAACTGTTGGGGGAGGAGTTCCAACTTTTGGGGTGAGGGGTTCCAACTTTTTTGGAGGTTCTAACTCTTGGGGGGTAGAGGTTTCAACTTTTTTGAATTGAATTATAATTTTTTGGGGTGGGTCTAACAATTGGGGGAGGTGTTCCAACTTTTTTGGTAGGGTCCAACTTTTTGAGAGTGGGTTACAACTTTTTGGGTAGGGGTTACAACTTTTTTGGTAGAAGTTCCAACTATTGGGGGGAGGGGTTCTAACGTTTTTGGACGTTCAAACTCTTGGGGTAGAAGTTTCAACTTTTTGGCTGGGTTTTCAATTTTTTGAATTGAATTATAACCTTTTAGATGGGTTATAATTGTTGGGAGGGGGGTTCTAACTTTTTCCGTAGGGTTCCAACTTTTTTGGTAGGGTTCCAATTTTTTTGGGGTGGGTACCAACTTTATTGGGTAGAGATTCAAACTTTTTTGGTAGGCTCCAACTTTTTGCTAGAGGTTTAAATTCATTATATTAACATTTAAATTAACTATTTAACATTCAATTCATCAAATTAATACCAAATTCTTCAAATCAACACTAAACTAACATTCAATTCATCACATTAACACAAAATTACTATTCAATTCATTAAATTTGCATTCAATTCTATCTAATAAACATTTAATACTATGCTAGAATCTTAGTTGAGATTGATATGACTAAGCCTATTCCAGATTGTGTCCGAGTGGAAAGAGTTCGGTTTGGTTTTTTGTGGATGTTTATTATGAGAGTCTCCCTGCAGTTTGTTCTCATTGCCATTTGGTTGGTCACGACATTTCCAAATGCCATTTTATTAAGGACATTGGTGTCAAGGGTAATGTTAAAGAAGGTCCATTAGACAAGGTTGATAAGGGGACTGCTCATGAGAATGTTAAGCCTCATGGTGTGGTTTATAGACCAAAGCAGGTAACAGATGCAACTGCTATGTAAGGCAACAGACTGCTCGTGTTCCAGATTTGAATAATAGTGTTACTCATATTAGTGATACTCTAGTAGCCAGTACCACAAAATGGGCAGATTTGTCAAATGAAGAAAATTTTGCAGTGGGTGGGGAGGTTTCATCAAGTCTTGCACTTTTGATAAATGATGGGAATGTCAGGGTTTTTGACTCTTCTGATGTTCAGCTTGATAATGTCAATAGGGATAATGTTGTTGGCCTTAATCCGGTTAGTGGTGCAGTTGATGCTCCAATTCTAGATTCTAATACCATAGTTTCTCAACTAGTAGATGTGGTCATTCAAAAGGGAGATGCATTTACCATTGTTCTTTCTAAATCTCAACAAAAGAGATTGAAAAAGAAAGCTAAGTTGCCTCAACATGCTTCACAGGAGATTCCTTATTCCCTTAGGGGTCGTCATTCTGATCAAATATCTTAATGAAAGTGCTATATTGGAATGCAAGAGGCCTAGGTAATACTCTTACATTTAGAGAATTAAGTAATTTTTGTAACACTCATAAACCAGATTTTCTTGGTTTAGCAGAGCCTATGGTAGATTTCTCCTCTATTCCTATTTACTATTGGAGAGCTTTGGGTCTTAAACTGGTGGCTCTTAACAATCGAGGCTCCCTTCTTCCTAATTTATGGGTCTTATGGGTTGATTCTGCCCCTACTCCTACAGTTCTTTCTATTTCTGATCAGCAGGTTACTTTTCAATCTTTTTTTAAAAAATAACTTATGCACCTTTACTATTCTTTATGCTTCTACCACCTATACTAACAGGAGAACTTTGTGGGATGCTTTCTACTCTCTGAAAACCTCTATTACTGGTTCTTGGATGGCTACCGGGGACTTTAAATGCTGTTCTTGGGGCTCATGAAAAAAGAGGAGGTCTTCTTCCTAATAGGATTTCTTGTGCTGAGTTTCAGGCTATGAGTGACTATTGTGATTTTTCCCACATGGACACCAAGGGAGCTTTGTTTACTTGGGCGAGGGGTCTTCATTCCAAGGTTGAAATGAGGTTGGATAGATCTTTGTGCAATCCTCTTTGGTTGGATAATTGGGATGATAATTTTTGCATTTCTTTGCCTAAGCTTTTTTTTGATCATCATCCTCTTCTTTTCACTGCTACTAAGTCAGTTGCATCGGGTCCAAGGCCTTTCCGATTTATTAATTCTTGGGTTTCTCATCCAAATTTTAAGCAATTNCAACAAAAGAGATTGAAAAAGAAAGCTAAGTTGCCTCAACATGCTTCACAGGAGATTCCTTATTCCCTTAGGGGTCGTCATTCTGATCAAATATCTTAATGAAAGTGCTATATTGGAATGCAAGAGGCCTAGGTAATACTCTTACATTTAGAGAATTAAGTAATTTTTGTAACACTCATAAACCAGATTTTCTTGGTTTAGCAGAGCCTATGGTAGACTTCTCCTCTATTCCTATTTACTATTGGAGAGCTTTGGGTCTTAAACTGGTGGCTCTTAACAATCGAGGCTCCCTTCTTCCTAATTTATGGGTCTTATGGGTTGATTCTGCCCCTACTCCTACAGTTCTTTCTATTTCTGATCAGCAGGTTACTTTTCAATCTTTTTTTTAAAAATAACTTATGCACCTTTACTATTCTTTATGCTTCTACCACCTATACTAACAGGAGAACTTTGTGGGATGCTTTCTACTCTCTGAAAACCTCTATTACTGGTTCTTGGATGGCTACCGGGGACTTTAAATGCTGTTCTTGGGGCTCATGAAAAAAGAGGAGGTCTTCTTCCTAATAGGATTTCTTGTGCTGAGTTTCAGGCTATGAGTGACTATTGTGATTTTTCCCACATGGACACCAAGGGAGCTTTGTTTACTTGGGCGAGGGGTCTTCATTCCAAGGTTGAAATGAGGTTGGATAGATCTTTGTGCAATCCTCTTTGGTTGGATAATTGGGATGATAATTTTTGCATTTCTTTGCCTAAGCTTTTTTCTGATCATGATCCTCTTCTTTTCACTGCTACTAAGTCAGTTGCATCGGGTCCAAGGCCTTTCCGATTTATTAATTCTTGGGTTTCTCATCCAAATTTTAAGCAATTTGTGGGTGATACTTGGAATTCATGTTCTGTTACTGGTTGCCCCTTTGTTGTTCTTAAATAGAAGTTGAAAGTGCTTAAAATTGGTCTCAAATCTTGGAACAAAATGTCTTTGGTAATGTTGATGAGAGGGTTAGGTTGTCTTATGAATCTCTTTCCTCTGTTCAGCATGATATTGACATGATGGGGCCCTTGGATTATGTGTTAGAGAAAGAATCTGATGCGAAAAAAGAGGTGTTTGATGCTCTCAAAAGTCAAGAAGGTTTTTGGAAGGATAAGTCAAGGATTAAGATAGTTAGTGATGGGGATAGGAATACTACTTGTTTTTTTTTTTCACAAAATGGCTAAGGTCAGAGTGGCTAAAGGTAAGATTCATACTTTGCTAATTGATGATAATATTGTTCAGGATCCTAATATTATTCAAGACCATATTGTCTCCTATTTTCAAAATCTATATAGTTCTGCTACCCCCTTTTATACTAATGGTCTAGTGGTTCTTGCCATGGTGACCGATGCTGAAAACTCTATGCTGACTTCAATTCCTTCTACTAGCGGAATTAAAAAGGCTATTTTTGATCTTGATCCTCATAGCACTCCTGGTCCAGATGGTTTTGGAGGTACAATTTTCTGCATGTGAACTTCTGCTTTAGTCATATCTTTTGAGAAGGAAATGTTGTAGCCGATAAATGCGNACTAGCGGAATTAAAAAGGCTATTTTTGATCTTGATCCTCATAGCATTCTTGGTCCAGATGGTTTTGGAGGTACAATTTTCTGCATATGAACTTCTGCTTTAGTCATATCTTTTGAGAAGGAAATGTTGTAGCCGATAAATGCGCAAATATTGGTTTATCCTATTCAGGTTTTCAATGGTGGTGGGCTGCACCTACAGTGCTTGCTACTCAACTTTGTAATGACATGTATAGCCTCCCTTCGTATAGGTTTAAACCATAGGGTGGTTTTGAGTTCTCTGTGAGCTGGATTGTGGCATTTTATAAGCTACCGGGACCAGACTTTTCTTTATTTTTCCATTTCTTCCATGTATTCTCTTTTTCTTTTATTAATAATATTCAAGCCTATAGCACATGATTCGGGATTTCTTGGGATGCCAACCTAGTTGGGATGCTAGATAATCCTATGATGCTTGAAGCTCTATTTTATGAAAAATTAACCTAACATTCAATTCCATCCAATAAAATTTTAATTTATCAAATTAACACTAAATTAACATTCAATTCATTCAATATATATTCAAATTCATCAAGTTTACACTTAATTCATCAAATTAACATCCAAAATCATCTAATAAAAATTCAATTTATCAAACCAACACCAATGTAATATAAAAATTAATTCAATAAATATTTAATTCATCAAATCAACACCAAATTAATGTATGATAAATATTCGATTCATTAAATTAACTATTTAAAATTAAATTCATCAAATCATGGTTCAATTTCATCCAATTAATATTCAATTCATCAAATTAACACCANAAATATTCAATTCATTAAATTAACTATTTAAAATTAAATTCATCAAATCATGGTTCAATTTCATCCAATTAATATTCAATTCATCAAATTAACACCAAATTAATATTCAATTCTTCAAATTAATACTAAATTAACTTTCAATTCATCAAATTAACACAACATTAATATCCAATTCATCAAATTCAAATTCAAATTCAATTCCATCTAATAAATAATTAATTAATCAAATTAACCTAACATTCAATTTCATCAAATAAATATTCAATTCAGCAAATTAATAGTAAACTAACATTCAATTCATCCAATTTATATTCAAAATCATCCAATTAAGACTTAATTCATCAAATTAACATCCAAAATCATCTAATAAAATTCAATTTATCAAACCAACACCAATGTAATATAAAAATTTATCGAATAAACATTGAATTCATCAAATCAACACCAAATTAACATTTAATTCAAGAAATTAACATTTCGTTTCATATAATAAACATTCAATTCATTAAATTAACACCAAATTAACTTTTAATTCATCAAATCAATACCAAATTAACATTCAATTCATCAAACTAACACCAAATTAATATAAATTGTATGAATTGAATATATATTTGGTATTGATTTCATCAATTGAACATAAATTTGATGTTAATTTGACAAATGAATATGTATTGGATGAATTTAATGTTAATAGTTGAATTTAAATGTTAATTTTATTAATTGAACATTTATTAGATCAAATGTAATGTTAATTTAGCATTTAGTTAATGATGAATTAAATGTTTACTTGATTAATTTTCATATTGATTTGATAAATTAAATTTTTATTGGATTATTTTGGATGTTAATTTTGATAAATTAATTGGATGTTAATTTGGTATTAATTTGATGAATTAAACATTAATTTGATGAAATTGAATGTTAATTTAATCAATTGAATGTTACTTTGATAGTTATGGGAAAAAAATGAAAATATTGTTATAGTTTAGGGGTGTAAGTGTCATTTAAATTAAGACCGATTGTAGGAATGGTGGACCGATCCTGTGTATAATTACAATTACTTATCCTATCATATTACACTTTTATCCCTTTCATATTATACTTTGACACTTTTATCCTAATCCTAAAGAAGAAGTCGATCGTCTTCAACTTCAAACATTCCATTCCATAAATCAAAGCTGCGTGTCTCATACAGATTAGGAAGGGACCTGCGAGTGTGTCTCAACCAGACCATTCCACCATTCACGCCTTTAGCCAAATCGATTCAAACATTGAACCTAACCATAAGATTGATTTCAAACATTCAAAATCAATTGATTTCAAGAAGAACAAGTGAGCTAACCCTAACTCCAAAACCCTAACCCTAACTCCAAAACGCCTCTGATTTCAAGCATTCGAAATCCCTTTAATTTCAAGAAGATCAAGTGATCAATTTCAAGAAGAACAAGTGATTGATTTCAAGCATTCGAAATCCCTTTGATTTCAAGAAGAACAAGTTTCAAGAAGAACAAGTCAGCCAATCGATCGTTACCAAACCATAACTCCAAAACCCTTCAAATTTGCAAGTAAGTATTCTATAACAAATGACTATGTGTAGTCAGCTTGTGTATGTGACCTGGTGTTTGAACGTGTGTGAGGATGTCATCTGTTCGATATGTCAACTCTTCTATATTTATTTTCTCGCATGATGGATTTATTATGTTTGATTGGGTATGTCTCTTTTTTCTGGTAATGTATCAGGACAACTGAGATACTAAAAAGAATTCAACAAAAATTTTGATGGAAACAAAGGAGAAGAGGAAGGCTGAGGGAAAGTATCGGCCAAAAGTGGATAAAGGTGGAATTCCTCCCATTGTGGTCCATTCCT